ATGTCTGTGTGCCACATGAATGCCTAGTGCTTCTGGGCCAGAAGAGGGTGTCAGATGCCCTGGAACTGGAGGGGGAGATGGTTGTGACCCACCATCTGAGCGCTGCTAACTGAACCCAAATCCTCTGGAACAGCAGCCAGTGCTCTTAACTGCCGAGCCATTTCTCCAGCCTGGGTGGGTGCCGGGCTCCAGGTGCAGAAGGTTTAGTTCAGGTGCATAGGATGGAGTTATTCTTGATCCTTTGAATTTTAACAAAGCTTCAAAAATGATTTGATAGATTATATCCATAGCCTGGCACTGGTGGTGAACACATTTAATCAAAGCATCGGGAGGTAGAGGGAGTTGGTGGATCTTTGTGAGTTCAAGCCAGCCTGTCCTACAGTGCAAGTTCCAGGACAGCCAAGGCTACACAGAGAAACCCTGTCTTGAAAGAACCCAAAAAATTATGTCTAGAAATGAGTTTTTATTTGAACCAATTTTTATGGTTTCATGGAACAGTTTGGTTTGAGCACTCTGTAACACACTATCCCTTTCACAAATGTTTTCAGAGTTGGTTTGAGCACTCTGTAACACACTATCCCTTTCACAAATGTTCTCAGAGGAGAGCGCCAGCAACTTGTGTATAGGACGCAGTTATCTGCTGGCCCACACTGCAGGTAGACTCCAGATTCCAGTCGCTGTTGCAGACAGAAGGGTGGAGACTGAATCCTCCCTCTCTCTCTGGTGTCCTTTGCCCTGATTCTTTCCATCATTCGAAGCCCAGCAGGCTACAGAGGCAGGAAGACTGTGGAGAAGAGAGACGTGCAGAGTTGTGCACACAGGGCCTGCTGGTTCCTTCTGATGCTCCTGGGTACTTCTCACTCACCAGGTCAAAAGGATTTACCCTTCACTGTGGGTGCCAGCTTTGGAAGGGACACATCTCAACAGAGCTAGGAGTCTATTCCCTTCACCACGTCCTCTAGAACAGCACACAGGTGACTGGCTTGTGAGAAGAGGCTCAAGAGGGACACCATTCCCTCCGTCCCTCACGTCTGTAATGGGCTGCCTGCTGCCAAGAAGGGGGGAGGAAATGGACAGTGGACTTGACTGCTAAGCCCCTGTTCATTCAGTTATTTTATTTCTTGGTTTTTCTTTATGGAGGATGGCAATCCTCCATAGGATTAGGCTGAATATATCCTCTGCTTTAATGGCTTCTTAACTGAACTTTTATATATACACTCCTTCATGTATTTTTCTATTTATTACCCATTTTGGTATTAAATACCTAGGAGAGTTGTCTTAAGCATGCATCACCATCCCCTCATTAGAAGTCTCACATTCATGAAGTCATAGGCTGGACTTGGCCTCCACTGTCTGTCCATCTGCTTCAGTGACTGTCAGATAAAAGACCAGTGAACCCTTGTCCTATGATTAAACAGCCATGGGATAAAACCCAACACTTTAGTCACTGACACCCATGAAAGTGTAATGGAACAGAAGAACTCCTGTTGCTGACACCATAGCCTTGGGATCGCCATATACCAGGGCACTGCTCACATGTGGATGGCACTGCTGTATGGAAAACCACTGTGCTGCAATTCACATGAAACCGCAGCACACAGAATTCTATACAGGCTTTGATGGCGGTAAAGAATCTCTCCATTCCTGGTTTGCACTTACTCCAGCGCACTTCTTTTGGTTAACCACGCTAGTGTACAAGAGTCTTCCCTGTTGTGCAGCAACAGCCTCATGCACCTGATACTCACTCTTTCTTTGTTGTCCTTGGAGACAACATGGGTGCATTAGCCTATATTGTCTAGCTGTGTGAAGGTGCATGTTCACACAATGACCCGGATGCCTTCTGCCATATTGTGATATTGAGGAGCTATGTCCTCCATAAGTAACCAAGATGGTAGAGCTGTT